AGGTGAGCCTGATAATGGCTAGTGGTTGAAGCGGCTATGGTGGATGTCCAAGATTTTCGCGCAACTCAAATCCGAATTCGAAGTCTCTGCATCATAAAGTGGCTGAAGTAGATGTGACTGAGTTTGGATTCGTTTCGGTCGGTATCATAAGGTTGGATATCCGAAATAGTTTTTGGATACCGTTAACCCAAAGTCTCTCTCTTTATCTCTGTTCGTTTTCTTGGGTTTGAGGATGCTTGGCAACTGTGTTCAAGTTCTGCAAGTCAATCTACAGACAAGCTTTTCAGAGTCATTTAACTACAAGAACACAGAAAATTTTCAGACAGCAAATCTTCTCAACACGACAAGAGGTGGAATTACTATCATAAACAAGCCCACTTTAATATGTTACACATTTGGCTTGAGAGAGAGACACACACCTCCGTCACACACTATTATATGTTACAGAAAACCTCTGTTCTGCTAAACCCTGCAGTTTTACTAGCACCAATATGATATCTACATATCCAGCTTCGGTTTCCGACTAATCTCTGAGTAATGACCGCCCATCAACTGCAAAATCTCCCCCACAAGTTTTCTGATGAATCCTCCCATATTAAATCTGAGCTACACGCTGCCACATACCAGTAATCTGATTCAATTTCCTCTCTGAGCTGATCTAGTAGCCAACCAGAATAACCGACAAAGAATCTGAAGTCTTGTGGCTTGAGTATTCCTTCTTTTACAAGTGCTGCAACTTCATCCAAGCTGTTTTGAGCACCAAAGCTTAGGCCGGGCATGACTTCTTCAAACCCAGGGAGCTTAGCTCTATCACCTGTTTTCAGTAAGAACATGCTCGCTTCAAGCGTCCCTCCAAAGAAAAGGGGACAATCTGAAAACGTGGTAGTGAGTTCGTTATTAGTTGGTTTCATGTGCTTGATGTTTTTGTGAAGCGGGCGGTTGATGACCACTCCGAATGACCCTTCTTGTGGATGTTTGGTTCCTATTCTCAGAAGAAGCACCACTGTTCTCTCGAATGTTCTAACACCGTCTAGCTTCTCTGTGGCAACTAGGACGCAACCCGTCTCTGGACAAACTTGCCCTGAACTCTCTCCAATCCATATTCCGGCCATGGGACTTCTGAGATGCAGAATCGCCCGATTTATTGCCATTAGCATACTTATTTCCTTGAGAAGCATCTCCTTCAAGAACAGAATGACTCGGCAATAGTGAGAATCAGAATCGATAAGGCCAAATTTCAAGAGTAGACTTGCAAATCCTACTCAGCATATAAGTTACTATTTTGTAACCTCATACACAACTCTTAGCCAAGAAATGCTGCTTACCACATCAAGCAACTAAACCCATGAGAATGTCTTTCAAATAAACGAGATGTAAACTCTCATATAAACTTGTTAAACAAAGGGCCCAGTTGTTTTCCAAGAACTAATCTAGGCCTTTCAGACCAATCTCCTTTCCTTTGTGTTAAGGCTTCAAACTGACAAACAAAACAAGATAAGCCAAAACAGACATGGTTGACATAAAATGCTGTCTGAGTGGCAACTGTCGACCTACACTATGCATTGCACATATTTTGAAGGATCGTGCAAAGTTTTTTTTTTGGTAAAATGTGATTGAATATTCATATATGTAGTAGCAAAAATTTACATCCAGTCCTTAATGACTGCTCGTAGCAACCTAATACAAGGAGATCCCATGACAAAATGATTCAAAAACTGGACTAAAGTAACACAGACGCTACAACGAAAGCTACATTCTCAAACGATCAGTTAGGAAATACCAATGCTCCACCAGAAAATTGCTGTCTGTAGCCCTCCTCTCCTTCATCGAGAGCAGTAAGTTCTGCATCGTCTTATCCAATCGCCTACGCAATATATCTATCGGCTTCGTTATGTTCCGAAATATCCTGTTGTTACGCTCATTCCACAGCAGATGTACCGTCACTTGCATGATCAGTTTCGAGAGAATTTCCCTATTTTTGCCCTTGTCATTTCCAGCCTGAGTAATCCAAGTATGACAATCGTATAGATTATCCGGCGGCGAACTCCAGCAGCAAGAAGCAAAATAGAGCCATAGATTGACACTATAAGAGCACTCGAAGAAAAGGTGGTGGTGGGATTCCTCCTCTACTCCACATAACACGCAATCGATCCCTAGTAGACCCCATCGACGCAATCGATCCCTAGTAGGGAGTCGTTGCTGCATGGTCTGCCAAAGTAAGAATGCATACCTGGGTACAGACCCATACCAATGAATGCCAGTCAACCCTCGGTTTTGATTGACGGATCTGCTTCCATGTTTTGGCAGACGAGAAGAAGCGTTTGAAGTCGTGAGCTTCATGTTTCCACAACAAAGTGTCGTCCCCAGCTTCTGCCGATGGGGGTCGGACTTCCGCCAGCGAGATAAGAAGCTCTTGTATGTTGTCCCATCTAGCCGGGGAAAGTGACCAATTTCCAGCAGACACAGCATCGGCAACTGTCGCATATCTGTTCAACCTCAAGAGACAGGGCTTAAGTTCCCCGACAAACTCAATCAAGGGACCGTGAGAGGTCCAGTTATCAAACCCTACTCTCTCTCTCTCTCTCTCTTCAAAGCTATTCCAGTAAATCGAGATCAATCCCAAGGCATTTCCCTCAAATGCCAACCAATCAAGCAGGATCAGCGTTTTGTCCGGTACGAGACACATCACATTCCATAACATTCCTCTTCAAAACGGAAGTCAAAAGGAGAATTAGGCTATACCCGCAGCAGAAGCATCGTCGTTACTCTTCTTCGCGGTGGCTCTGATGGATAAAGATCGTGACCCAGAAGCAGAAAACTTGTGCCTGAGATCCCTGATCTCCAAGGATCCGACTTTTTCAAGTTTCCCGGAAAACGTTTTCTCAAGAATCGAATTATTCGGCAGCAACAAGGTAGGGTTTCGAGCCGCTGCGTCCTTCAAATGGAGGGCCCACAGATCCATCGAAGACTCCGATCAGAATCAAGCTCGATTCTCTTTTCCTTCTTCTCGGGAGTACTTTGATCCGATAGGAACTCGACGAGACAGATCAAAACAAAGAGAAGATAGGCTAAGGATATATGCGAGCGAGCGACGGAACGATCGTTGGCTGTTTTTACCTTTTTGCCCTCTATACCATTCTTCCTAATCATCAATGACGATCTATCATATGAGAGTCTTGACATGATTATTTTGAAGGCATATTCCATAAAGTTTTTTATGTGTAAATTATATTCTATGATTTTGTGAATTTTAAAACAATCAATATACAATGTTATTATAGCAAATATAGACAGAACGTTAGATTAAAAAATTGAACGGCAAGGGATCGACCGAAGGAAACGACTGCCGTTCACGTGGCTTTTACGTTATTTTAAAAAATAATTAAGGAAAAAATGGTAAATGCAGAATCCTGATATCGAAGGGTAGCAATTTTCCTTGGCGGCGTCAACGTCCGGATAACTTGTTACTCTGCTTCTGCTCTGCCAGTGAAGCTTTTTCGAGGCAAAGTCACTCTCCGTCGTTCGAATTAAAGGTTCCATCGTCGAATTAGGGTTTATGCGGAATCCAAGTTTATAGCGCTTATCCGACAAAAAAATGCCGATTCAGCCTCCTAGTTTCGCGGCGAACGATACTCTCTGTCACCCGATTGCGTCGTTTCCGGCGGCTACGGTTCATTTGCATCGATTCCCGAGGAGATTTTCGGGAAATGTGAACTGGGTTCGTGAAAGGCGAAGAATTTTTCTGAAAGCGAGTGATTCGGAAGCGAAAACGGATGGAGCAGCACAGAAATCAAGTAGTTTTACGGAAAACGCTGCTATTTCTTCATCAGAATCAAGTGCCAATGCATCCTCCAGCTTCTTGTCCTTTCTCTGTCCTCTGCTTAAGCTTTTCTCTGTGAGTCATTCCTCGTTTTTGTTGGAATTTTCTGCTGTTGTGCTAATCGTCAGTGTTTGTGCTCTTCTCAAGCTTCTAGTTTTCTGGGCTTGTGTTTGTTGAGTTCTATTAGGTTTTGTAACCAGACCGATTGGTTTCTCTGGGTTATTTAACATTTTTCAAATGTCCTTAACAGGGAGGAGACCCTTCTCAGAACCGCAACTATGCTTTGGAGGTAATAAAGCTCTTAGGGTTCAAACATTGTGATATGATGTTACCACCAACACATTATGTACAGATATTAGATTCCATGAATACATAGTGAATTCCGATAAGAATTATTAGATGGTATGATTTGGGCTGCATCTAGTGCACCTGGTTATCCATTGGCTCTTTAATCATCCTGTCATTCTAGTAAATCAATATATGATTTATTGGTATGTTGAATTATGCACAGCTCAGTATTATGTAAGGAGTGGAAACGTGTCCTTTTCCACTGACATTGGTATGAAAATGTACTTAGATTAACATCATAGAGAAGATCTAATGCTGTGCATTCCTATAATTATTTGTTCTTGCTTGCTTCTATTCCTGATATTTGTGTGAATAGTATAGGTTGCAACTTCTTCCTTTGCAACAGCGGCAAGGCTTCCATGGGGATCCAGGGTATCAGCTGGGAGTTCACGCAACCGAGACGCGTCTTCTAGTCCTCCTCTGCGTTTGCAGCTTTTTGAATTTGGTATGATCCTGTTGGCCGTCTGAAGTATATAACATCAGTAGAAAGCCAATCTACCGGATTTCTGTTGAATCTAGAAGTCTTGCAGTGTGATAAATGTCTCTTTCCTCACTTTTTGGAAAACAGAGGCATGTCCGTTTTGCCGGAGAGTGAGGGAAGCCATGACTGAGCTGGATCTCTCTGTAGAAGTAAGATTCAAGTCATCATCTTGCTGAAAGGATCGTATACTAACTCATTTTTCTGAAAAATTCATCCTGATATATGTACTTGTATGTGCTTAGGTCTATCCTTGTCCAAAAGGATCTGTAAGACACAGAGAAATGGTTAGAAGATTTGGTGGCAGGGAGCAGTAAGTATTCATTGGGAAATTTCATTTGGTTTTGTCAGCGTTGCTCCCTCTAATGGCCAATAATGGACTATTCCCTTCCAATGGCCAGTAAAATTCTATGAATTGTGTTGTGTAGGTTTCCTTTCCTCATTGACCCAAATACTGATACCTCACTATATGAGAGTGGTAAGTAGTGATTTGCACCATAAATAGCATGTAATCTTCTTTTGTTGATTTCTTTTGCCTTTTTCATTGCTTGATCCTCTTGACACCAAACTGGTTCTCTCTTCTCTAACTAACAGGTGACATTGTGAATTATCTATTTAAGCAATATGGAAATGGAAGAAGCCCTTCTGCTGGGCTTTTGGAAAGGTTTACTTCTCAAATTCTATCTGCTTGATCAAGATTTACATGTGCTGTAGCCTGAATTTTCGTGATAGATTTTGAATGGATTAGCCTAACTCACATATTTCAGTTGGTTTATAGCTGGTATCGCCTTTTGCTGACAAAATTTGATTCTTGATCTTATATTAGCATTTGTTTCTTTCTGTAGTACATTAGTTAGCAATTAGTACATTCGAGGGTAAGATGATTTCATTGAGAAAGCAACAAATATTTTCTGGTTAATTGTCGGAGATTCTTGTTTTCTTTCTAGCTTTTATGTTGGAATCAACCTGTTTGAAAACTTTGTACTGATTTCTCAGTCTTCCAAATGAGCTTCTGCTACATAATTCACTAACTTCCTTCGAATGGACACAGCACACTATTCACCGGATGGATGCCTACAATACTCAGAGCAGGTAGGGGCATGTCGCTGTGGGACAAAGCGAGACCAGATCCACCTCCTGAAATGCTTGAGCTTTTCTCTTATGAAAATAACCCGGTACCATACTTCTTTCTTTAACCTTGGGTGTCTGAGTTTTGTTTCCCGGCCCTTGTGTGCATTGTGCTCGTTACTTTACTAGCAAATGTTTTTCATCCATTCCTTCTCTCTTCCCATGCAGTACGCCCGACTTGTGCGTGAGGCATTGTGTGAACTGGAGCTCCCCTATGTGCTACGCAACGTCGGAGAAGGCTCAGTGAGGATAAGATCACTTCTAGATGCTTCTGGATCCAATGAGGTTTCTTTCCATTTTCCTCCATGGATATCGAATCTTAACTCCGAATGATCACTAATCGAAAACCCAGCTCTTGACTCTTCTGCTGAATAACGCATTTGACCAGCAGGTGCCATTCTTGGTTGATCCCAACACTGGCGCACAGATTGGAGACTACCAGAAGATCATGGATTACCTATTCAATACCTACTCTTCAGCTACATCACCTGCATAGTTTGAACACTAAGGTACAAGCCTTTAAGCCCTTTCGTTTGAGTGCCTCGATGTTCTTCTATGTTTCAAATGACAATGTTCCACGCTGCATCATGTACATATGGTTGTATTTGTTGCCTCTTGTGTTAGTTGTTGGTGATGATTTCATAACATCAACACGTATATAAGCTTTGATGTAAACATTTTGGCAAATAAATATTTTACATTCAGTGAAAAGGAAACAAAGACATTTTGATTTTGCAGAATCAAAGGAGATTTAACCATTAGTTGGGTATGATAATGATGTTTCTACTGTCATGATTACAGTTTAACAAATGATTGGGGCCACGTATCTCTTGTCTTAATCCTACCAAATCTCTTTTTCCCTTTTGTTCTGTCGCCAATAAATTTATTCTTGTAATTGTTATCTCTGCACGATTTTTCTTTAAAAGTACCATCGGATTCTTCTCTTTCAAGCATCAATTTATTATCGATTAAGTCTTCCCACGACGGTTCACATCTTCCAATCATTATGAGCATACATACATGCATGCACACATACATATACACTCATTATATACAATTAATATGTAGAAATATGGAATCCACCAGACACATATTACCAAACTTCTGATGTATTGCACCAACCGCAACCTTAGTAGCTCTCATGTCCTCCTCTACTCCTCTCTCATTCTTCTTCTTCCGCCTTTAAAATACTCTAAAGAGAGGTCTTATTTCACTTCAAGTCTCCTCTTTCACATGTATATATACTCGATTTCTTCGATCATCATTGTCAGGCCCTCTCTAAATCTCCATTGCTGCTTCTTCCGAACCTGAAAACCCAGAAACAAGAATCGAAACTTGAAAGCCTATCTGAAAAGAAAACAGATTTCAGAAAGAAAAAAAACCCAGAAAAGAAAAATCGAAACTTGATCAAGCTGAGGACATGAGGTCCAAGACCCAATCTTCCATCAATCTGAAGCTCGTCTTCATCTGCTGCTCGGTCTTGGTCTTGCTCGTCCTCTTCTTGACAAGAACCAACGTTTCTTCCTCTTCAAACAACACGGTCTCCAGAAACAGTCTCTCCAATTCAACCGGCCGCGAGGAAGGAGATGAAGATCATCACAAACCCAGATGCCCATCACCTCACTTGAATCCGTCCTGCACGAAAATGCCAGCTTCTTTAGCTGACGCATTGGTTCACTATGTGACCACAAGCATCACTCCACAGCAGACATTCGACGAAGTCTCTGTCTCGAAAAGAGTCTTGGACAAGAAGTCTCCTTGTAACTTCCTCGTCTTCGGCTTAGGACACGACAGCTTGATGTGGGCTTCGCTCAACCACGGTGGCCGGACATGTACTCTTTCTTGTTCAGAAAATCTTTCTGCTTCATTTTTCTGTCTGAATATTATGGTTTTGATGAAGCTGTTGCAATGCAGTGTTCCTCGAGGAAGACAAGTCTTGGATCGAAACTGTGACCCAGAAATTCCCCAATTTGGAATCTTACCACGTCATCTATGATACGAAAGTGAAAGATTCCGACAAACTCATGGAACTCGGCAAGACCGAAGACTGTAAGACCGTATCAGATCCCAGAGATTCGAAATGCGCTCTGGCTCTGAAGGGTTTTCCTGCGGACGTATACGAGACGGAATGGGATCTGATAATGGTCGATGCACCAACTGGCTACCACGAGGCGGCGCCGGGACGGATGAGCGCCATTTACACGGCCGGGCTGATGGCTCGGAACCGTGAGAGCGGCGAGACAGACGTGTTCGTGCACGACGTGGACAGACCAGTGGAGGACGAGTTCTCGGCCACGTTCTTGTGCGGAGGGTACTTGAGAGAGGAGCAAGGGAGGCTCAGGCACTTCACCATCCCTAGCCACCGAGCTCGTGCCGGAAGACCCTTTTGTCCGGCGGAAGGGGCCCCACAGCCACCGGAGACGGTTTCCCGGCGGCCCCATTTTCCAGGGGCTGGGATGGCCGCCGGCGGAAGCCGTGGCGTGTTCTAGCCGGAGTGTCGTTGTGGTTGCCTTTTCATCTGTTTACATTATGGAGATACTTACGTTTGGTGCATTGGTTTCTTTGGTATGTTAGATATTTTACTGTAAACGGTAATTATATGTTATTATGAGATAATGGCATGGATTATATCAATAAAGAGAATTAGATTATCTGATCCATACAAACTATAATCATTAATTAATCAAGAAACTATATGGTTCCTTTTGCACTAAGGGAAGGGAACATTGGTTGGTTATAACAATTTTATTTTTCAAAATCAATATAAGAACGGGTAAGATAAAGTGATGGTAAACGATTAAAAAAATAGAAATTGACATGAAAAATATATAAAAATATATATAAATATATATATATATATATATATATATATATAAATATTAAATGAAACTATATTCTCGAAGCTGGAATTATCTTGCAATTACATATACTGAGTAGAAAAAAACATGCTCTGTGTATTTCATGGAGTAGAAGCTAGAAGCCGAGAAAGGGAGGTTCATATCAGGTTAGCTAGTGATATTGCAATGAGTCTTGCTCATCAGCAGCTTAATGCTCACTCCAGATCTCCATATCTTGTTCTTTTGGATCCCTCGTTGATGAGCTCGCTGCATTTTTATTGAAGCTGGATTCTTCGAGCTTTTCCCGCAAAAAAAAAAAATAAAAATAAAAAAACACCTCGGGTATGTGCATGCCATGGAAAACGCAATCATCGGAAGTAGAATCTCGATTAGGGTATCTGTCTGTAACTGAACAGGGATTACACGTTGTTCTGTGAGTGTCCAAAGATCAGATGTGGCTTGAACAAGAAACTGGCGCTGTTACAGAGATCTTACATTGTGGAAACTAAGCAGCTTTTGGACTGAACGAACATCAAACAATCTCGACAATGTTAACCTCTGTATGTCGTCTGAAACGCATATTTTCTGAAGCCGACCCATGATTTCGTGGGTGAATGAACGTGTATATATATATACACATGTGTGTGACAATGAGCATATCACATGTCCATATAAAGAAGAGAAAGAGATCAACTTCAAACACAAACTGACACAAAAGGATGATAACTTATGAAAGAAGCAGAGGAAGCTGCCAAATGTGGATTTTTCTTAAATCTTTCTTTCTTTGGATTTAAGTTACAGACTTTGAACTTAGAAGCCATGAGATAGTGGAGCCCTAATGTTCTAATATATAAATGTTCACGTGTATTCCAAGAAATGTACAAATAAAAATCTCACCAAAACCTAAAAAATAAAAATAGAGGTAACTGAAATGCAGACAAAAGGGTGTGATTCTTGAGCATGAACCCTAACGTGTAGTTTTGTCTGTTTCTAACAAGGCATTCTACTTGAGAATTTCTGATAGCTCGCCGTAAAAGGAGTACTAGTAGCAGCAGCAACGCTTGTCGATTTCTCCACTGCTGCAATACATTCCATGATAAGGGTTTCCATAGATGGATACTTCAAGTTTTCATCTCTAAGGCATTCTCTGCACTTCTCGTAGAATATGCGGAGATCTTGTCTCTGTTCATCGGCTTTTCTCAACATCGCGCAAACCCTAGCTCCTTCGGGCGTCGATCGATCAAAGAACGTGATGAGCTGCTTCACCTTCTTTATCTGGTCAGAATACAAGCCGTAAACCTGGAAACTCTCTTCCAAGACGGTGTGGAGAACTTCTTGGACGAGATACTTATCTATAGACTCGACACTACCCGGATCAAAATTCAACACCTTTTCGATGAAATTTTGGCACTTGGGCAGGAGGTCGAACACCGAACCGGACACGATCGTTTCGCGCCTACGTTCTGAACGATTGACGACGGGTTTGAGCCTACGGTCTGATGGATTCACGAACCATTCAGTTCTTTGTTGGAGATAGGCTGCATAATTCTGTAGAAAAACAGAGAATGGGTCCTTGCCCTTCATGAACCGGCAAATACCCAGTTTGTGACGATCGAAAGCGAATTCCGTATGGAATTGTGTATCAGCACCAATGATTCTGTGAGTGAGCAAAAGGGTTTCCAGTATTTCGACAGGGTCCTTAATCGTCCTTAGACGCCGAGAAATAAATTCCGCGATAGTCGAGGCTGATTCTGGATCGAGACTAACCGCTATGTATCTGTGGATCTGGTGATGGTCAGTTGCTCGAGGCACTGCGACTTTGACGTGGAAAAGATCTTCTTCTTCATCATCACGGCCAGAGTTCCGTAGGAAAGCGCTGCAAAAAAATCGACGAAGCTTGACCAGACCCATCTCGAGATATCTAGAGAGAGATGGGGAAGTGTTATTGTGAGATGCAATGGAATGAAAAATAGCAGAGAAGTCGAGGCAGGAGCGTTTTAAATAGGGAATTAGGGATACGGATGAGCCTAATCCCTAATAAGAAAAGGAAAAGGTCAAAACCCTAATTGAAAATGGAATTAAAAAAACAGACATTAACATGAGCTGGAGTTTTTCCTTTTTTTCTTTAAAAAAAAAAACATTAGCGTTCACAAACACGGCGCGTTAATGAGCTGGGCCCATTAAATCAAACTTCGGCCCAAGCCCATTACATGTTTTCCCTCTGTATATTTAATTTCGACCCCTCAAAGAGAAAAATAAATGAACAAGAGCCCATAGGTATTTGAAATTTAAAAATTGGATGAGATCGAAATTCGAATTCGACATAAATGCCAAATGATTATGATTGTTCTGTCAAGTTCAAAGATCAGATGTTGCCTGGACAAGAAACTGACACTTTTACAGTTAAGTTCTTCTTGCATTGGGGAAATTAAGCAGCTTTTGGTCTGAACAAACGTCAAACAATCTCGACAACCTTAATCACTGTCTGAAATGCTTATTTCTGGGGCCGACCCACGATTTCGTAGCTGAAGTCGGAGCCATCTAAGAACCATCAATTGACCAAGTGGCAGAGAACTTGACATGGACCGGGAAACCGGAGAAAACAGAATACAAAATTGTAAGAAGACAACAAGACGAACTGGTGTTGGATTCGAAGGACGACCGGATTCTTCTGCAAGAGAAGAAGGCATTGCCACTACTTTCTTGGACATTGGCTAACGACATAAACCACCACCGTGAAATAACATTCATGCCCGCGAAGTAGTTCCCGAGGAAGAATGAACATATATACACATATATGTGTGCAAGGGAGGGAGAGAGATAGTAGGTAAGGAAGTATCTTGATAATTAAGCATATCATATGTCCACATAAAGAAGACAAGGAGATCAACTTCAAACACAAAAGGGACTCAAAATCCTTCATGAAATCTCAGAGGACGATGCAATTTCCTGCTTTTTGGCGGAGTTCTTCAGTCTCCTTCCCCGCCTTCTCCAGCTTCTCTCTGAGCTTCTTAATCTCATCTCTGGACTGCTTGTGGAACTTCTCGGCTCTCTTTTCTGCTTCAATCCTTCCTTTAGTCTCCTTCCCCAGCTTCTCTCTGAGCTCCTTAATCTCATCTCTGGACTGCTTTTGGAACTTCTCAGCTCTCTTTTCTGCTTTAATCCTTTCTTCAGTCTCCTTCTCCGCCTTCTCCAGCTTCTCTCTCAGCATCTTAATCTCGTCAATGGACTGCTTTTTGAGCTCGTCCGCCCTCTTTTCTGCCTCAATCCTTGCAGCTTTTTCTTCTTCCAGTTGCTTCTCAAGCCTCCTCGCTGTTTCTTCCAGCTTTCTCTCCACCTGAAAAATGAATCATGCAAACTCAAGGCTTCTATTCATCAACGAAAGGTTAGGTTGCATTTTCAAAATTATTAGATTGATACAAAATACCCTCTCCATGATTTGGCTGAGCAGCGATTCATTCTTTTCGATCTGCATCTTCAACTTCGGCATCTCTTGTTCTGAATTGCCCCTCAATGATTCAACCTCCCTTCAACCATTCGCATCTCGAATTAAACTTAAACTAATCCGAAGTAGCATCAAGATCTTTGGATTCTTTGACTTTCTGGGGACAATCATAGAACAGACCATGCCGATTTCTAGGAAAGTTTCTTGATTTTCCGTAGAGAACCCACGAAACCAGCTTCTGGGTATCGCTCGATTGGGGATTTGGGGAGATGGGTAACAATTTTATCTGCATGAAGAAGAAGGACAGCGGAGGAGGAGATGGATCCAGAAGCAAGAGGCTCAATCGCTCACAGAGAAAATTGCTTGCCGAGGAAGATATGTTGCACCGACGGGCCCTGTCCATGGCGATTCATCAGGCTCAGCTTTCTCAGAGATTCGACGGATCCGTGTCCAGACGGGTCGGGTCCACCGGCTCCAGGAGACGGAACCTCTCTAACCCGTTTTCCGGTGGGAAACAAAAACAGGTCGCTGATGAATCTCCATTGCTGCAACTGTTTCTTCTTTATGAAAAATACCGAGCCTTTGCTTTTCTACTCCTTTTGTCATTTTTTATGAGATTTTATTCAGTCAGCATTTGGATTGTCCATATCTGATTCGATGTGGGTGCTGGTTTCATGATTGTCAAAAGACTTATTTTAAGATACGAGGAGAAAAAAAGTGCAGAAGAAAACTTCCATATGAAAGGTTTCTTTACCAAAAGATGAAGAGAGAGACATGAAAAGTGATTCATCTATATCTCATCTGAGAAAGAAACGAGTAGAGGTTTGCATTCCTATAGAGTAATCGGGACAAAACCCGATCAAAAGACGATCTTTTGGTGTCCGATACCGACACCCTGTTCCTGTTTGGGACCAGATGAACTGTAGCAAAACTCCCCACATGCATACAACAAATTTGCAGATACCTCAGTGATCTTTGGAGGACTTTACATTCTCCAATCATTTGCTGAAGCCCTTTTGTGTTTGGTTTGGAGACATTGTTTTCACTGCTGTGGATTTCAAGCTGTTATTGCTAAGGAAACCGGCTTTTTCGTGATTAGAAACAATGTGTGAGTTTGGAAGATTTGGCTTTTTTTCAGAAGATCTTGAAGAAGGAAAGAACTTTGTGTTATGACTAAGTTGTTCTCATTTGTGTAGTTACTGTATAACTCATTGCTCGAAATCGGAATTTGCAGGTAGAGGAGTTCTTGGAGAGCTTGAAAGTGAAGAATTTCATCCTGGTTCACGGCGAGAGGTTCGGGGCATGGTGTTGGTACAAAACTATTGCTTCACTGGAGGAATCGGGACTCTCGGTAACTGCACTCGACCTCGCAGGATCCGGATTCAATTTAAAAGACACAAACAGTGTCTTGACGGTGGAAGAATATTCGACACCGTTGACCGAGCATCTTGAAAATCTTCCGGAGGGAGAAAAGGTTAGAACAGTTCGCATTTCTTCAAGGAATTGCATTTGAGTGTATATCTCAGCTTTTTCTATAGTGTTCTTCGTTGTTTGGATTTCGATGTCAGGTCAGATTGTAAAGTGTAGGTAGTCTGTTTCGTACCGACGGGTCGCTAGGGAATAGATAAAGGTCATGTTAGAAAGCGTATGCGTTTGGATATTCACTTCTATGCCTATTGATACCATTGACAAGTTAGAATTTCTGCTATAGATGATTGGGTTTCACTTCTTCGATGTTTCTCTATTTATACGAAACCAATAACATGTAGGTTATTCTCGTGGGTCATAGTACCGGAGGAGCTTGCATTTCCTACGCGTTAGAGAGATTTCCCGAGAAAATATCGAAAGCGATATTCATTTGCGGGACGATGGTTTCTGATGACCAAAGGCCTTTCGACCCCTTTGCTGAAGAGGTATCTCTTCCTACTTTGTACTCTTCTTGAGTTCTATTTCGTTGATAAACCGATTCCTCTTCTCCTCCGGTCCGGTTTTGTATATAGCTCGGTTCAGCGGAGCGGTTTATGAAAGAGTCGCAGTTCTTGATCTATGGTAACGGCGAAGACAATCCTCCGACAGGGTTCATGTTCGAGAAACAACACATGAAAGGCTTGTATTTCAACCAGTCACCCGCCAAGGTAAAAAAAAAAAAACTCTTGCTTGACAATTTGACTGCGTTTTCAGCGTTTGCGTTTACATCAAACGCTCTTTCGTCGGCATTTGAAGACCTGATTTTACCGTCTTACCCCTTTCGTCACCTGAAAATCTAAGGGGTGGGCAAAAATGGGTATCCGCAAGTCCAGTACCTGCGTATCCGGTTTTTCACGGGCACGAGACGGCCTTTTTTATTGCCCATCGAACGAGTACAAATACGAGTAGTTACAAATCAGCGACGGATATCCTGAATTTTTACGGTTAATGTATTGGGTACAAGTACGAGTATCAAATTGTGATATTTGAATCTTTCGAATACGGATTGTAAATAGAATCTTAGCATGAACCGTATCTTTACAAAATATGTTTTCCATAACTACGATCATAGATATTGTGTGTGTTTTGTTTAGGACATTGCACTGGCAATGGTGTCCATGCGACCGGTCCCGCTCGGACCGATGATGGAGAAGCTGTCGTTAACGGCAGAAAGGTACGGGAAGGGCCGGAGATTCTACGTGCAGACGCTCGACGACAGAGCGCTCTCGCCGGACGCTCAAGAGACGGCGGTGAGAGAGAATCCTCCCGAAGGGGTTTTCAAGATCAAAGGCAGTGACCACAGCCCTTTCTTCTCCAAGCCTCTCTCCCTCCACAAGATTCTCCTTGACATCGCTCAGATTCCTTGATACAGAATCTTGCAAGATTCTTAATACTCACAGGATTATTACACAGGGTTCATACCGTAAAATATCAAATTCAAAAGTATTTATTTTTTGGAAAAAATGTAAACTTTTATTCACGAGCGAAATTGGTGTATGCTTTTATTTATATTTATATAGCAAACAATATATTTATATTGAAATTTTTTTAAATATTGTAAAAACAAATATAGATTGTAGTATGTCTTGATTTCGGCGTTTACTCAAATGCTAATGATACCAAAAGAGGGCTGGCATGCAAAAAGGACTAAGGAAGTGGGACCATGCCACTTTCACAAAATGGAGTGTTAGATGGTTCCTCTGGCTTCGCCATATGATGAAACAAAGACCCCACATGAAGGTCTGCCACCACAATCCCTTTATAAAGCTCTTCACCATTCATCTTATGCTGGGATTGAACAAAGGGTTTCACTCCTTTCCCTTTCTGTTAAGAACCCTAATCCGAATCAGAATCTTGGGTGAATCCAAATCTCTTCTAGGGGGTGGAAGATGAAGGGAAGCAAGTCTTATGCGGAGTATTCTTCGTCTTTCTCGGGTGAATTCGGGTACCAGAGCAGGTCTCATCCGTATAGTTTCAACGGACCCTGTAGCAAGACTGATCCCGAGATTAAGAGGAAGAAGAGGATTGCGTCGTATAACCTTTTGGCTGCGGAGGACAAGCTCAAGAATGGTCTCAAGAACAGCTTGAAGTGGATCAAAAGCAAGTTCATGGGGTGATGACAGTATTGACTTTGCAGAAGTGTGTTTTGGAGTTGTGTGCCCTCATGCATCTATGGATTAGTGATGGGATGTGTTGTTGAAACATAAAGACAAAATGTTTTGTAATTTGCTTCGTGATGATCTCATGTGAGTGCAGAATGGGCTTTTGGTTCTTGCAGTTGCAGATTCTGAAGAGACCTAATAGGGACAACAATGAACAACAAAGATGGAGACTGAACATAGAAACTGATTTCTGTCTTGTCCATGTGAGATTGAACATATGCTACATAGATATATATGTTTCAGTTCCACAAAACCAAACCGTACCGAACCAAAAAATGCGGTCGCGTTCTTAGATCGAACCATCCAAAATTTTTCGAACGATAAGTTTTTTATAAAATCGAATTTTCCGGAATCAAATTAAACCGAAAACGAATTTTAAAAAACCCGAAAAAAACAAAAATTTCTTATAAAAATTTAAAATTTTCTTAATAAAAAACGGAACCGTAACCGAATATACATATTTTTGTAAAACCAAAAGAACCGAACCGAATCATTCCCAAACCGAATGCCGAAACACCCATCCCTAGTTCCAAATGTAGGATCTTAACTTGATCGAACAGAGAGCAAGTCTAAAGTAGAGAAGAACCTAAGATTAAAGGACTCAGCTTCAACAGCAATTCAGCAGAACAATCATATGGTGCAGAGTCAAACTCAGATCTTAGGCCTCTCCTCCTCGTATCTAAGGGTTACACCATACGACAAGAAGCATTCAACTCGAGCAAATTGTCTAAATCCATACAACCCAACAAATACATATTAACTATGCGTGCGTTGTTGATCAATTTGAACTCCCAATTTCTCCAAAATCGCACAAGAACACCAAGCCCAGAACCCAGAAAGAACAAAGAGAAATGCACAAATACATTTAATAGTGCACATAAGGGTACGCAACAAATGGATACGATCTCATCTGGGGATATGAATACAAAAGTTATCAAGCCTAAGATTCCTGGTCTATCTTATACGATCTTGTACATGAAATATGCATGGACTGAGCTTTCTCTCACCTCCCTCCTCTCTATCCCTCTCTCGTTCTCTCTCTCTCTCTATATATTATAATACAGGGACAAAGGACCAAAGCCACGATACGAGCACAGGATAAGACAATACAGAGAGATTTTGTCCGGGAAAATGTATCTACCTCAGCTTTGACAATGGTTTTGTTCTGAGCCCCGATTTCTGACTTTTGTTGTTCTGGAAACCAATCTGACTCTGCCGCCAGCGTTTCCGAGCTGCAAACTGAGAAGACCTTTACATTATTGTGCACATACAGCTTTTCCCGGTTCCATGTTGGAGCTCATCATCTGATCCACCGATTTCACTGCATTATTCGATCAGGATTTGCTCATAAAGTTATTCATCGAAAAGAAATAGTAAAAGGAGAGAACCAGTAAGGTGATTCATCGATCATTTCCATGAAACAAACAAAAGGGAAAAGAGAAGAAGACAGATCAATAATCGACTTGCTTAAGAATAAGAAACGTTAGTATCGTGTTTTAAGTACCATGGAATAAGGTCTTGGTCTACTCATAGGGATCCCACAAACACACAGTTTTGGAATAGAAAAGTTAAAGTTCATGATCCGTGTGACATGTAATGAATCACCTACATGTTATATTTAGCATTACCATTATAACAGCCACGGGCCAACGACCTATGAGTTCAATTTACACTCAAGAACAAGGTAAGATTATGACGGTGGATCCGGAAACTGCATTTTTCTAAACTATCAGCCCATCTCATCTCATATTTGGCCAATATCAATACAGCATTACCACACACCGGCACGTTTCACTAAAGTTCTTACAGTCCACTTAACATAGTCTAGTTTGCCTGTATTACCCACCCATACTGTAGCCAGGACCTTTGCATAGGACCTGGCCCTGATAACTATTGATATGAACCAAACAAACCGAAACCAATTGCAACATACTTGTCATAAGAACTCAACCTTTAAAACTAAGCTGGTAAGAGGAGGGTGCCCACAGAACTAATCTCACTAGATGAGATGACTATATGGGCTTATGATACACCACTATGTTTCCAATACTACATCCATTTTCACCCACTATGATCGAACTTTGTAGTGCTCAGTACACCCATTCTACAACGTGGACGCTTGTATAGGACTCATTTGTAATAACTGCCAAAAACCATTGAATAAAGCTCATCACATTCAACAACTAGTTTCTAAGATGAGAATCCCCATAAGTTTAAACGCCATCAGCCAATCCTAAATTTGATCAAAGTGGGATTCTAACAGCTTTTTGCCTATCAGAAATCTAAAGTGGAGGTTTTGCCTAAGTTACAATTACCAAATGCACCTAGTTTTATAGAGTATAGGTTATTCCATACTCATCATACACACAAACTAAAAAGATTCTTCTAGCCAACATATATGGACAACGAATCAGAATTACCACTTGGATTGACATAATCCATACCTAGGTTCAAATTCTCTGACCTCAGCAAGCTCGATCCCACAGGTGTCAGGCCACTGCACTTTCCTCCTTTCTAATTGATCCAGCGTGTCTTGTCTATTCACATCATCAACAGGAATTGCATCACTAAATGACCTTTTCTTCAGGCTGCTCTTAAGTGCAAACCTTCTGGTTTCTTCGCTGCTATCATCAATACAAGGTGAACAGTTCTTCCTCCCTTCGTGATGCACAGGAGAACCAGAGGGGACATCTTTTGGTTGAGAAGGGTCAACTTTAAGATGGGACGGACTGCCAGGTCCAGCAGAAGTGCGACGAAAACAAATAAAAGAGGTGCAAGCACGTGAAAATCGGTTCCTAAAGGAAGCGAAATGTAAGTTGGTATCAGGTTCCTGATGCACCAAATGGTATCGGTTCCATGAGGACACCCTCACAGGTTTGTCTTCATTCTTATGCCCCAAGATAAGAAGGGCTAGGCCCTTGCTATAACCAGAAGCCGATGAAGAGAAGAACCCTCCTCCCTCTGCTGCAAATAACATCTGCAGTGCTCATCTGCACATCTAGCAACAATTTTTGTGCCCTCCCCACACTGGAGATGAAGCTACGACTTTTCAAAGTTCCCCCTCCTGCCTTCCAGAGATGGATCATGTCATTTTAGAGGAAAAAAGAAAAATGGATATTGGTCTACAAACATGAAATCTATGTAACAACAAAATGGTACAACCCTTCCGCAAACATTATTCTCTAACTCATTACCACAATTCACTTCTAACAAAAACTGCTTTCAACTAGCAGCAAAACTTTTACCAAAAAAAACCCACAAGAAATCAAAAGAGCCAATTACCCAAAACGGAAACAGTGCAGATAAAATCACAACAGAATCAAATACTTGAAGGAAATCAAAATCACCACCATTTTATACCAAACCATAAGCGTCGAAATCCCTGTGTAAACTATTCGCAGAAACTACATCAAAATCAGCCGGAATCTTCATTAAATTCCAATAACAAATAACTGAGGAAGATCTATTAACGTTCAGATCATCATCAAGCACATAGAACAGGGCAAACAATAGAATCCGGCCAAATGCTTAATTACGGAGCAACTACTACATCTACGACACAGCTCACCCTAACGCTTTCGGTCGATTGGTTTGCTAAGACAGTGACGAAAATACCCTAACTTTCTAGTCTACCACTGAAATAGATGCAGTTTCTCCATTACCTGGAGATTCAAGCAGTGAAACAGAAAAACACAGATACATAAACATACGCAGCATACACATACACACATATATCTATATATACACAACACACGTATCGAAAGGCGAAAGAGAAAGGAGGCTCGCGATTCACCTGGCAGATCTACGAGACCGGAGGGCGGAGAAATGTCCGTAGCTTACGCCGGCGGCGCTGCAGAGAGAGAAATCGGCGAGGAATAAAGAGAGAAAAGGTTAGATTCAATAAAAGAGGATGGGAAAGAGAGGGGAAGTGGTCACAAAGGGGCGCATTATAGCATTTCGGCCAGAGGCGTATTATAGCACAATCCGCATTATAGCTCGCGCATCATAGCATTATGTCGCGCGTCATGTTCAATTAATCACAGCAACGTCATGACACCAAGGATTATTTGGTACTTGACGGATTGAATTTTTTTTTTTATTCATTTCGTTTCTAAATTAAAATTTTCTAAATTTATAAGTTAAAATGATATTTTCCTACACAAATTTATTAAAATATAATTTTTTATACACGTATTTTTAATTTGATAAAATTTATATTTGAATTCAAAATTTTCCAAATATCTATACGAATTGTTAAAATTAACAGTAATTACGTAATTATCATTTTTATTAAAAAAATTCGAATTCTGTTAACTAATGCATTGATATGTATGGTAGTTATAGTAATTATCTAGCTAATAGTAATATATATGTAATATATATATACAGATCTTAAATTTATTGGATTTTGTTAACTAATATAAAAAAATATATAAGTTATTTAATATAAATGTTATTCACAATTTAAAATTTAAAATTTAAATATTTTAAATCAATTCAAATACAAATATAATCATAATCTATTATATACAAATATATTGAAAATTTCAAAATTCAAAAATTAAACATAATAAATTTTAATATTCAAAAGATTAAATATTCTAAATCTCAATATATACAAAATTTTTCTTGAATATACATATAAAATATGTAAGTATAAAACATTTTAATTTTTTATAGCAAATTATTTTTATATTTAATAATATTATTAATTAGTACGAATCAGATCAGATATGTCGAATAATCCGAATTTGATATCCGTATCCGATCCGTATCCGACAAATATTTCAAAATAAATATCCGTATCCGATCTGTAAACTCCGGATATCCGAATTTTCGATTCGGATACGGATCGGATAACGGATCGGTTCGGTTTTTTCGGATATTATGCCCATCCCTACATATACCCATAGTTTTTTTTTCCATAAAAATTAATAGATTAAATTAATAAGTTGAAGGACAATCTTTCACTACAATTCGAGAAAGCCACTCAGGACAGGAGTTTGAACATAATACAAAAAGAGATTTACGATTCAACGCAAATTTCGCAATCACATCAGCCGGAGAATTACTAGTCCTTTGTATATGAACCAAACTGATACTCAGAAGGAGAGCACTTCAATTTCTTGAGTATATCTCTGCCAACTTAACGACTTCTTGTTGTTATTGATCTCTTCTACAACTTCTTTCGCATCTATCTCCAATCGCATATGCCCATAGTTTATAACATAGATCCGCCATGACTATATATTATATGATTATATATTATATGATTGTAATTCAATTAATCATAACCGAAATCACCTACCCTCCTCTCTAATGTGGTCCACATGCGCAATTTAGTTGCTAAGAATTAATTAATTTCCTTTCGTGGAAAATGAGAATTACGAAAAAGATTTAAAAAAAATTAAAAAAGAAAACGAGTTGGGAATTCGGTGTCTGCCTACTACTACGCTCCACGACCACGAGCCCTTCATTTCCCAACTGGCTTCCGCACAAATATCTCACCGTCGCCGGCGTTCAGTTCTTATCCGGCTAATTCACCGATTTCCTCTTCTCCGTCTCTCTGGCTGCGCGCGTTTTTCTTCTCGTCAGAGGTACTCTTCGCCGTGTTCTTCGAGTTCTTCTTTTCTCTTGAATTCCTTGTCTCTTCGGTTTTGATGAGATAATGCCGGCGATCGATCGTGTTTGTTTAGTTCAATTTGCTCCGGCGAGGTGATCTGGTCGGATCTGTTTTCTAGATCTGACGGAAACTCGGTTTGATTCTGATCTCCGGAGCCTGATCCGATCTGGTCGGAACTGATCGACGGAAATTTCCCGATTTTGTGCTTTTTATTTCGAATGTATTGGCTCAATGTTAGCTCCATTGATACGCAAGTTGCGCGATCGAACAAAACTGCATCGAGTGGGTCTCCTGGATTTCGGCTGGGGAGAAATCATCGCCGAGTCCGGGTGTTGTAATCGCGATGGAACTGAAATTATAATCGCTCCTTCGTATCGATTCTATAATTTTCTTCATGAATGTTCCGTTTGATTTTGCGCAGAAGGTGGGACGTCCTGCGAATTCCTGTTTTCTTATAGAATTTATATCGGAAGAAAAAAAGACCAAGTTAAAATGGCCCCAGTTAGTAAGGCTGATAAGAAGGCAGCCGTAGATGCCGCTGCGTGGATGTTCAATGTCGTCACTTCCGTCGGGATCATCATCGTCAATAAAGCTTTAATGGCGACATATGGATTTAGCTTTGGTAACCCACTAGATCTCTTCACTGATATGTTTTTATGTAACCCGGAACCCAGTCTAGGTTTTTCGATGTTCTTCTAAGCTTTGAGTTACATTTCAACCTGTTGCAGCGACAACCTTAACGGGATTACATTTCGCCACGACAACTCTGATGACAGTCATTCTAAGATGTCTTGGTTATATTCAGCCTTCTCATCTTCCCTTCACTGAGCTTCTGAAATTCGTTCTTTTGGCAAACTTCTCCATTGTTGGAATGAACGTCAGTCTTATGTGGAACTCTGTGGGGTTTTATCAGGTAAGTGACCATTGACTATCTATCTTTGCTGTCTGGCTCGAGCCTCGAACAAATTACTTTTTTGTTGATTATATGTTGTCCTTTGTGCTTCTCAGATTGCAAAGCTTAGCATGATTCCAGTATCCTGCTTGTTGGAAGTGGTGTTCGATAAGATTAGATACTCGAGAGACACAAAGCTTAGCATCGGACTGGTTCTTCTAGGTGTTGGTGTTTGCACTGTAACCGATGTTAGTGTGAACACCAAAGGCTTCATAGCTGCCTTTATCGCAGTGTGGAGTACTTCTCTGCAGCAATACGTAAGTTCTCTGAGCTCGAGGCTCATGTTTTCGGGATAAGTTTACTATGCAGTAACAAGATCTTTCCTTAATACGGATTTCTGCTCTGAACTTAAGATTTACATGGAGTTTGGATTGTGCAGTATGTACACTATCTTCAGCGAAAATACGCGCTTAGTTCGTTCAACCTTTTGGGCCACACTGCTCCAGCGCAGGCTGCAACATTGCTGATTGTCGGCCCAATCCTCGACTACTGGCTGACAAACAAACGTGTAGACAAATATGACTACGACATAGTTTCCGTGGTAAGTGCCGAAAAACACAAGAGACATTTAGAGACGACTTTGTTTCCCTGTTCAGTCTTTCCAATCTCGAAATCTGCAACAAAACATTTTCTGGATAGGCTTTCAGTCTCTTCGAATAGGTATTGAGGCAATTACCGAAACGTTCTTGCAGATGTTCATAGTTCTGTCGTGCACGATCGCAATCGGAACAAACTTGAGCCAGTTCATATGCATCGGGAGGTTCACCGCCGTGTCATTCCAAGTGCTGGGCCACATGAAAACGATCCTGGTGCTGATAATGGGATTCTTCTTCTTTGGAAGAGATGGCCTGAACCTTCACGTTGTCCTCGGAATGGTGATCGCAGTTCTCGGGATGATATGGTACGGCAATGCGTCGTCGAAGCCCGGGGGAAAGGAAAGGCGGAGTTATTCTCTTCCGACGACCCGGCAACAGAAACACGGCGGTGGTGCTTCAGATTCGGATGGTCACGAAGGCAAGGCCTAGTAGTAGATGGATCATGGAACACATCAGGGTTCTCCACACATAGTTCAAACTTGCTGGTCGAGCTATTCTTTTCTTGCTTCTTTTTTCAGCGGTATATGTAATTCTAGTTGTCCTAATTTGGTATCTAATTGCGCCATTTTTTTCCATATTATGGACGATTTGAGTGTTTTGAAATTTTTCGAGGAATTAAGTTATTATTAGTGTCTTGCACTGTTTCTACGAATTATATATATATATATATATAGATTTTCTGCAATAGCATAATTTTGAAAGGTACAAATACTGGTTACCAATTCGGATTTCGGTTAGTTTTTTCAAAAGAACCATCCATTAGATGCTTATATTAGATTTATTACATTCAAACTCAGATTACTATTAATGAAAATATGAATTTAAAAAGCCAATTTTTTCAACCATTATTCGACCGGGATTCAAAATTTCAATTTTTTACTTGGACTAAAGAATGCAGATATTCCTTGTATAATTAATTCGTTTCAAATCCGTAAAGCCCAATATAGCGACATCTAGACAAGGAACAAGGGAAAGCATATGAATAATAGCAGCATAAAGAGTGTTCGAAAAAAATTGTGCGGAGAACAAAACTAGAACCGGTCGGTCTTTTATAAAGCAGCATCCCATACAAAAGCAACTAGAAACATTCTAACTCAACGCTTCTTGGAGACACCAACAGTCTTTCCTCTGCGACCGGTGGTCTTGGTGTGTTGCCCTCTCACTCGGAGTCCCCAGTAATGTCTCAGACCACGGTGGTTCCTGCCGATTTCAAAATCCACCATTAGACACGGCCTCTGATATATACATTAATGCATACATATATATGTGTGTTATGATGTCTTTTACCTGATCTTCTTGAGACGTTCAAGATCATCTCTCAGCTTCATGTCCAGAGCGTTAGAAACGACTTGGGAGTACTTGCCGTCTTTGTAGTCCTTTTGCCTGTTCAAGAACCAGTCCGGAATCTTGAACTGACGAGGGTTTGCAACTATTGTCATTAGGTTGTCGAGTTCTGCTGCAGACAGCTCACCAGCCCTGGAGGAGCAACAGAACAGATGACTCAGCAATATCTATAGAGTTGGAACACAAACTAAGGGAAAGAATATGCCATTGACCCGACTCAATAAAGTAATGAAACACTTCTGATGGAACTTCGGTACTGAACAATTTATAACAACTATTTTTTCTATGGAATATAGAAGTAGCAAAGGAATAACACAAAGACCAACAGAACAGATAAGATGGCGATCTCTATTCCGAAAATAAATTTGGAACAGTATCAATCGCTGCAACTCATACCGAGATAAAGGATGAGGTAGACATGATTTAAGGAGCACCACACAGCATCCACTCTACTTATCAATGCGAATGGATATAAACTGAATCCTTGCTAATCTACCTTTTAGATGTTCCCTCAAATTACACAGATGAGAGAATTATAAAAAAGAAAAAACATGAGAAGGCAAAGAGCAAACCTCTTGTTCATGTCAACATCGGCCTTCTTGCAGACGATGTTAGCAAACCGTCTTCCAATACCCTTGATAGAGGTAAGGGCAAACATAATCTTCTGCTTTCCATCAACATTGGTGTTCAGCACACGCAGAATGTGCTGGAAGTCCTCGTTTGCGACCAGAGACTATACACATAACATAACACATTCAACTGGATAGGAGCTCAGCCAAAAACTCCATCGAAAAAACTCACCCAATAGTCACATAATCAGAACTTCGCAAAGTACTATTAACACTACAAACACGCTAAAAGACAGATCTATCATGAAAACTTATTGCCCTTTGACTCGTCGTCATCTACAGATTCCAGATACCAACACAATTCCCCACTCATCCATAAACTCGAGAAATCCACACAAATTCTTATGTTTCCCGATAGGATAACGAATTAGCCCTTGGAATTTGAAAAAAAAATGCAACGAAACAACTATTCCATCATCGAACTGGCCAATGCGAACGGGACGGCGCAACCTATCTACTATTTCCACCCGGCGAAAGGAGCAAATATCGTAAGAACTCTACGAAGCGATACTTGGATAACACGTGAAACAAGAGAAGACCAACATCGCAAACCCTAGTTACTTACCATTGTGATCTGCTGTCTGGGAATAGTGGAAAGTTCTCGCCGTCTTCGAGCAGCAACACAATCCCAGAAATCAGAGAGATGCGAATTAGGGTTCTCGAGTGGGTTTTATATGAGATCACTAGGGTTATCGACATCCGAAACATTCATAGACCATTCTACCCCTACTTGTATCTCGTAATATCAATTATACCCTTCGGCCCAAACCGATCTGTCCTTCGAACGGTAATTGGAGAATGCCATTATACCAAAAATATCCTTCTATCCCAACAAATATTTTTTTAAAAATAATTTTATGGTCTATATAATTAGAAATATATAGTCTTGTCACATATTAATCTCATTGATCATAATGTTAAATCTATTATGATCACACTAATTTATTATGTTCATCCCTTTTGTATCTCATTAATCATTCGATAAATTATTCGTTATAACTAATAGAATCAATTTATGATTAAACTATATTTTTTATCACATGGATCACAAGATCACAGATGAATAAAAAAAATATATGTCTTATGGGTAATTTTTATAATTTCCCATTTTACTTATCTATTTTTTTTTTTTGAAGAGTTTTAATTCTCTTTGATCTATTTTCATCAATATGAGTTTGATTTATAGTAAACCTACGAATAACATGGTAAACTAAGTAATATCTTATAGGTTAATATTCATGTCTTGGTTTCATTCCTATATCCTGTTTCCCCACGAATTTATTTTCCTTGCCATGTGTACACCCACAAAATGACATGTATATAATGTTTTTTAAATTTCTTTTAAAAATATATAATTTTAATTGGAAGAAAATAATATTTATGTATTTTCTTGAAAATTTTAAAATTCATGCATAAATGTAGATTTGATAATAAATTTATTTGATTTATAATGGATTTTTTTTGGAAATTATGTTTGGGGACATTATGTTCAAGATCCGTACATTCAAAGCCTTTTTGCGGCCCAATATGTTGGGCTGGGTTTAAGCTATTAATTAATTTAGGCCCATCATATTTTGATTCTGACCTGTCAAGTTTAAGTCCCATGCTTTTCGCGGAAACTTCATTTCTCCTTATTCCCCAGAAATTTTCCTTTTTGACCATTCAAATCTCTATTCCTCTCTTTATACTCCCCCCCCCCCCAGCGATCAAAACCCTAGGGTTCGTGATTTCTCTCTTCTGGCGAACGTTTCTTCTCATGTAGTTTAGCTTCTTCTTCTTCTTCTGGGTTTCATTTCTCGTTGACCCAGTTGATACGTGCTACGGAATTTTGCCTGTGAGCGATCGGACTCGGTGTGGGACGTCTATGGCGGATTCATCGCCCGATTCGTGTTTCAAGGGAGGGAGGTTCTGCGCCCCTGGTTTTCGGTTTCACCCTACAGATGAGGAATTGGTGGTCTACTATCTGAAGAGGAAGATCTGTAGGAGAAGGCTCAGGGTCAATGTAATCGGTGTGGTTGATGTGTACAAATGGGATCCCGCGGAATTGCCTGGTAATTTCATCACCCCCTTTACTCGATTTCGTTTTTGTTGACTAGGGTTTTGTTCTGGGTTTTCTCTGTTTGACCATGATTCTTAATGAATGTTCCATCTTGGTTTTGCCCTGATACCTGTTTAATTAGTAAAGAGGAACGGTTGTATCGGATTCTTATCTTTCTTCCGTTTCCAGTTATTGATTTTCGATGAAATTTCGTTCTCTTTTGGGCCTCCGCGAAATGGGTCTTCATCACTGTTTGCAGTTTTTGGATGAGTGTTCGAATTGCGAAAGGAATGGTGGAATAGATGTTTTGTTCATTTTGGCTGGCGACTACCTTAGAATCGGGTCAGATTGACTTTGCCAAAAGCCTTGTTTGTGTTATTGAATCTAACAGCTACTGTGTCTATATTTGAGGGTTCCTTTTTGATTCATCATAAATTTACGATTTAAGGTAGCAGTGGTTATTTGGGGTTGATATTAAATTGATTTCAGTATATTGACCCAAGCATTCAGTTGTGTTGAAACCAGTTCTCTAATCTAACCCACCAGATACTTTTGAGCAGGTCATTCACTGTTGAAATCTGGAGATCGACAGTGGTTCTTTTTCACTCCAAGGAGTCGGAAGTATCCTAATGGAGCTAGATCAAGTAGAGGCACTGCAAATGGGCATTGGAAAGTTACAGGAAAGGATCGAACCATTGTGTATAATTCCCGAGCTGTGGGGATCAAGAAGACTCTTGTTTACTACAGAGGCCGTGCCCCTAATGGAGAACGGACTGACTGGGTGATGCATGAGTACACAATGGATGAGGAGGAACTCGGAAAATGTCAGAATGCTAAGGTAGTAGGATATACACTGCTGATGCTTTATGTTCATGTCTGTCTTGTTATCCTTTGCCCTTAGTTGATTCTGCTTTTTTTCCTCTTCAGGATTATTATGCTCTTTATAAGCTTTACCAGAAAAGTGGGGCTGGTCCTAAAAATGGTGAACAGTATGGTGCTCCGTTCCAGGAGGAAGAATGGGCTGATGATGATAAGGAAGACACAAATAATGTTGCTGAGCCAGTGTCTGTTGCTATTAAGTCTGATAGTTTTGCTTGTGTTGACAAGGATGTACTTACACAGGACGATATCGAGGAACTCCTCAGAGGAATTGCAGATGCACCTCCAGTTTCCTCGAGACAAATCGACAATCTTCCTTATGTTGTTCCTCAGGTCAGTTTATTCTCTCATTAAATGAGATAGAAGAGTAAATTTCTTAAAAGTTCCCGTTAGAAGATTGTAACAACATATTATCCAACCTAAGAGTGCACAGTTTCTTCAAACCTATATATATATTAAGGTAGGCCTTATTTCATATCACTGACGATATCTAGCATTTTTCCACAGGTAAACAGCGAAGAAGACGTTCAGAACACATTCGTGAATACCTCTTCTGGCGGGGTTCTCATATGCGAGCAAATCGGAGAGTTTATGCCAAACAGTCAGCCATACAACAGGCGCATGAGTTTTGGCTCTCTTGTGTCAGCAAACTCATTTGAGGCTACTGAAGTTACATCGGCTACTCCCAAGACCATGGAAGCGGCACCGTTAGTGTTTGAGAAGGAGGATTACATAGAAATGGATGATCTTCTGATTTCTGATCTGGATGCGTCTGCTGTTGAGAAACCTTTGCAACCCTTGAACACTGACGGGTTCAGCGGCTTGAGTGAGTTTGACCTGTTGTTCCATGATGTTGCCATGTCTTTTGATATGGAAAATACTTGTCAGGAAACAGCTCCATGTCCGTCTTTTACGAACTATTTGGATTGCAACACAACTGACCAGAAACAGCATTACCCAAACCATCAGTTCCAACAGCAGACTGTACAGAGCCAGCTGAACAGCCTCACAGATCCGAGTGCAGTTGATTCAACTCAATTGGTTGGTGATTTATGGCTACAAGAAGAGACGGCAGATCACTTTGACAGACAACAATATTATTCCGAAACATTTGCTTCACCCTTATCAGGTACGTAGTCTCTGGTGATTATTGGCCATCTGCTAGCTTTATCTGTAATACAGGCGAGACATTCCAGAGTTAGCAAGCCCACTTTATGTGTTAAGGTAGACCGTAGGAAATTTCGCTGATACTTTTGCGGGTATTCTTTCGTTTGCTTAGGAGTGATACAAGGGTCTACAGATACTACTACGGGCCCGAGCACAGAAGATCAGGGAGATCAAGATTGCCCCGGGGCGAGGAGCCAGTTCTCTAATGCCTTGTGGGGGTTCATGGAATCCATACCTTCAACTCCAGCTTCTGCGTGTGAGGGTCCTCTGAATCGGACCTTTGTGCGTATGTCTAGCTTCAGCCGAATCAGGGTCACTGCAAAAGCCGATGGTGCCCCCACTGTGACTGGCAGGAAACCAAAGAAGGCTATCAGAAACAGAGGGTTTCTTCTCTTATCAATTGTAGGTGCTGTGTGCGCTATCATCTGTTGTGTTTATAGTCTCTGAGAGATTTACCATCCTCTCCGAGGTTTCATGATCTTCGGTTTAGTTATATATAGGAAACAGACAGACATGGAATTAACTACTTAGCAGTTGTCTCAAGGAGGGGTTTTGGCCATGAATCTTTAACATGTATATATATAGTGTGAAATATGATTTTTGTTTTTTTGTTTCTTATGGGTTGTCGGATCTAACAGTGAAAGAGGATTTTTTTTTTTTGGTTGGCATAAAGGAGGGAAAAGAAAGTGAACGAGACACGGTGGGGCAGAGTTTGAGATTTACGTGTAAGTGGCGAGAGGTGTGTGAGAATGCCAAGGCGATGCCTAAATTGATAAAATAAAAAAAATTAAATGTTCAACCTCTCTTTTAATTCAGAAAAAATAATGTGCCAATTTTCTATTCTATACTATTTTTTGATTATTAAACCTTATATTTTTTTATATCTAACTATAAAATACCTATATTTTTTTATAAAATTGACAAATAAAATAGCAGACATAAATAAAAATTAATTTTTCAACATTGACATGACAACAATTTCATCCTAGAACATCATCAATTATCTACTATTTAATAATATTAAATAATAAAAATATAAAAATATATTAAAAATTATACTAATATTAATAAAACTAAAATAAAATAATAACATGTACATATATATCTTTAACAAAAAAACATGTACATATTTTTGCATATATACCACATACATATATACATACATAAATATATATATACACATACATATATATACATACATATATATACATATTTATATACATATACACATAAAAACTTACACTATAGAATTTATATATGTATATATCTATGTAAATGTTATATATGTATATGTATATATATGTATGCATATATATATATATATATATGTCATTTTTATTATTTTATTATTTTATTTTACTTCTTTAAAATGTATTAAATTTTGTCTAATCTCGTCGATTGAATTGTATTAAATTTTGTCTAATCCCGTCGATTAAATAGATGAGATGGTTAGACATGAATAGGGGTGTCAAAAGAGCCAACTCGGATTGTTTGAGGCTCGGCTCGTTTGGCTCAGATCGTTTTGGGTTCAGCTCGTTAGACTCGTTTTCTAACGAGTCAGAAAAACTTTGGTTCAGATCGCTCGCCAGTTTTCCGATCTGAACGAGTCGACTCGTTGAACCAGAGATATATAATATTTTGTATTTATATTTATTCTAAATTTAACTATAAATTTAAATAAATACATAAAAAATTAATAAAACTCCAATATCAGTTAATATTTTCAATTATCACCATCAAAATAATTAAAATATTTATAATATCATATGAATGATATGGAAAAAAAAGACAATAAAATTATATTAGAGTTTTTTATATAAATTTAATTTATTTTAAAAAAAAATCAGCTCGTTGAGGAGCTCGCCAGCTCGCCGAGCCAGTCTCATTGAACACGTGTTCAATGAGACTAACTCGTTAGGCTCGTTTTTTAATGAGCTGAAAAAATCACAACTTCGTTTTCTGGCAAACCACGAGACCCCTAGACATGAATTTATCATATGGATATACCACATCACTAAATCGAAATTAAATAATTTATGGTTCAAAATAAATATCAAATATACCGTAATGTCAGATTAAAAATTTGTATAGAAAATTGATATATTTTAATAAATTTACGGAGGAAAATATTATTTTCCCTTTAATTTAATATAAACATTAATGACAAACTTTTTCGAATATAAACGGTTATTTTCTTTCATTTGGACGCTGAAATTAATAACCAAATTTTTATCTGAATTTTACCCCAAAAAAAAACGTTGTTTTCCCTACTTTTGGGTCTTATAATACACATCCCTGTGTACGTCTCCATCCACACCTCTCTCTCTCTGTCACTCACTTGCTGTCTCTCTCTCTCTCTCTCCGGACACAGTTAACGACAATGGCCACCGAATCCCCCATCCGAATCGGAGTTTTGGGTTGCGCTGAGATCGCTCGGAAGATCTCTCGGGCCATCCATCTCGCTCCCAATATCACCGTCGCCGCCGTCGCTAGCCGCTCCGTCGAGAAGGCGAAGGCCCCCTCCCCCGCCACGAACGGGTACCCTCCGACGGTGAAAATCCACGGATCGTACGAGTCGCTCCTCGACGACCCCGAAGTCGACGCCCTATACGTCCCGCTTCCGACAAGCCTCCACGTCGAGTGGGCTGTACGCGCCGCCGAGAAGGGGAAGCACCTCCTGCTCGAGAAGCCCGTCGCCATGAACGTCGTCGAGTTCGACAAGATCATCGCGGCCTGCGAAGCAAATGGCGTCCAGATTATGGACGGGACAATATGGATGCATAACCCTCGGACCCAGAAGATGAAGGAGTTCCTCTCGGATCCCGAGCGTTTCGGACAGCTCAAAACCGTATGGCTGAGCATCGAATTTGAGTTCCCTAGGGTTTCTCTTTGATTTCGTGAAATTGATTTAAGCATGAATGTCTCTGGTGACATTACGCCGTTGAGATTTACGTAGGATTCTGGAATAGTCGACCCATTCTTGGTTTTGTTCATATCCGTATACTTGGTAGGAATTTAGATTATCCAATCTCGGGCTTGTGATTTTGTTCTTCATACAGAATTGAGGAGGTTGCCAATGTTATTCTCTTCCATAGAAGATGAGCTTCCCATTTCCTGGATCAGTTTCACTATAATCACATCCGCAAATGCTAAAGAATTATTAGATATTTTGTGGATTCAAGAATGCTTCTTGAAACTCCATTGCTCTGATAGAGAGTATTCACCTTGGATTCTGCAGGTACACAGCTGCTTCTCCTTTGCAGCGGACGAAAATTTCCTCGAGAACGACGTCCGAGTGAAGCCGGGTCTTGACGGGCTCGGCGCTTTGGGAGATGCGGGCTGGTACACAATCCGGGCGACCCTTTTCGCCAACAACTACGAACTTCCGAAAACTGTCACCGCCTTGCCCGGTCCCATCCTTAACGAGGCCGGTGTGATTCTCTCCTGCGGGGCGTTTCTCCGCTGGGAAGACGGCCGAACTGCCACCATTTCCTGTTCCTTCTTGGCTAACCTGACAATGGACATAACGGCCGTTGGAACCAGAGGAACTCTCCAAGTCCACGACTTCATCATCCCGTTCCAGGAGACCGAGGCCTCGTTCAGCACAAGCACAAAGGCTTGGTTCAACGATGGGGTGACCGCTTGGGTTAACAAGCCGAGCGAGCACAAGATCGTGACTGAGCTACCGCAAGAAGCGTGTATGGTGAGAGAGTTTGGACGCCTGGTCGGAGAAATCAAGAACAGAGGAGCGAAACCTGACGGGTTTTGGCCGAGCATCAGCAGGACGACGCAGCTTTTG